TTATTCTGTCTAGGTTTTCTTCTCACATGGCATCTCAAATTTCTGTTGGCGGTTTTGGCCAGACGACATGGCGTTGTTACTCGTTATGTGTGTAAGGGAGCATAATATATTGTACGGAAAAGGATGTCCATTACTTAAATTTTACATTAGAGTAGAGATACAAACTTGGCCAGGAGCCAGAGTCGTAAAAATTATTACAGCGAGCAAATGTTTATGACTCTATAATGTAGATCAAAGAGGCAATACAAAAGTCAGACACGGCACACAAAATGTCACTTATAAATAAAATTGTGATCATATTTTATACTTAAAAATTAAGTACGGGTGGATCCCGTTTTACCCCCTTAGGCGTGGAGTTTCGTGAAATCCTTTCTTAGCGGATGCCTACGTCATAACATCTACCTGCATGCCAAATTTCAGGCCGATCCGTCCAGTGGTTTGGGCTGTGCGTTGATAGATCACTATGTCGAACACTCGTTGTCGGAANAATTTTTTTCGCACATTATTTTTTTACGGATTTGTGTTCAGTATCAGTAATATAGTAACCTCTGTAAATATGGCAAGAATGCAAAGTAACACCCTGTATAATTACGCGCGAGCGATAAGGATGGGTAGCTTGGGGTCATTGGACGGGATTCTACATGCTCACGGACCAGGCTTTAGACAAAATAACATTTAGTCTCAAATTAAATTTTAAGAATCAGTGATGCTTGACACAGATATGAGATTTGAGAGATTTCAAGTTGAGTCATTTCAAGAGAAAATTAGAGTACATTATGTTCGTTCGTTTCAGCCAAGTGATGTCCACTGCTGGACAAAGGCCTCCCCCAAGGTTTTCCACAATGAACGGTCCTGCGCTGCCCGCATCCAGGCTCTTCCCGCGACCTTTACCGTCCACCTAGTAGGAGGCCTGCCCACGCTACGTCTTCCAGCCCGTGGTCGCCACTAGAGTACATTATGTATCCACCCAAAAAAGGAAGGTAATGCTTTTAAAGTACATCTGACAACCTGCTGCTTGCATGGTGCATCGGCGTCGGCGTCAAATAGTTCTTGACACCCTAAGTGGCCAAAAAATTGATAAAATAACCCTTATCTAACTGTAAAAATGACGTGTTGCGACTTTTTGGCTACTTTGAGTGACATGAATGACACTGACTGTACCATGTTAATGACAACAATAATTATTATCATTGTTTGTTGGCTCAAATAGTTATTGAGTCTCAAATTGTCAACGTACCACTCCCTGTGATAACCCAAGCATCAGCAACTCTTGCGAGATCTTGCACATCCGTTTGAACGTCACACTCTTGATGAGAAGTGCGCTGCATAAATTACAGACATAAGGCGGTAGACCGTCTGTGATCGTCATCTGAAAATTTAAAATACTACATTAGTTTTAAATAAACAACTTGAAAAATTTAACTCCCTAGTGAACTAATCTCTGAGCGAAAAAAAAGAGACTCTAATCGCTGAGAAATTTTAATAATACATGAGTTTGTAGGATTCTGGGTGGACTACAGGTCTATCCCACCTCTCGTTCCCAACGCTGCAACTCCTGTGTAGTCAGGATCTACAGCTTGACCACCGATAACCCAAGCAGTCAGGCTTTTAAAAAGCCCTTCTACATGTCCCAGTATTAACCCTACTACTGCTTCGGGACAATAAATGGGCCAGTGCTGAGAAGAAGCAGCGCAATAAAATTGAAGGTCAAGTATGTCCCGGTGGAAAGTTAAGCTGTCATTAGACTAGCCAACATTATCAATTTGCAATAAGTAAGTTATAAATTTGTTCCACATGTGTGGAAAGTGGAAATCCTTGGGGGAGGCCTTTGTCCAGCAGTGGACGTCTTTCGGCTGAAACGAACGAACGAAGTTTGTTATTTTATTTGCAAATAGGCATTTAAAACTGCTTTTACAGATCTCAGTATTACTTTAAGGAAGCGCAAGAAACTCAGTAACCAGTAGATAAGAAATAAAAATGGAAACGGTATGTATAACTTAGGCAAGCTTATCGCTAAAGGCGATCTCTTTAGACAACCCAAGGAGATAGTTTTTAAAGATTAAATAGCTTACAGTATAGACATAATCTTAAATAATGAAAGTTAATGCGTGTTTCTGAATGATAATATCGCTTTCTGAATTATAACTTGGAGAAATGCAGTCTAATTAGATTTTAAAGAACCAAACATAACCTCTAATCCTGTGAGTACATTATAAGCTGTATGAAGACGATACTTGAACATATCGAGGAGTTTCACGTTGGTCGATAAACACAGGCGACAAGCCAGTGTGTCTCCCATGATTTTACTATCACTTTCACTCATTTCAATAATTTATTGAATTTAAAACAAAATTGTAAACAAATTGCAACAAGATTACATTTTTTTAAAATTCTTGACACATATAGTGCTGTATTTAGAAGTACAGAATATTCGATTATGATTTAGTCTTTGATCTTCATAAACTGCCCAAATCAATAGTGCCAACACTGCCAACCCAATAGTAATAATTTTTAAAGTTATCTGTAGCAAAAAAAAAAAAAAAACATTTTTATAGTGATGTGCCAGTATCGCTTGATTGCTAACGATAAATTTATTATGAAATTTAATTATGTTGTATATTATACATATTTTAAAGACGTAGTTTTTGTTGAATAATTTTAAATAGTCTATTTAGTCTATTTAGTCAGTACCGCTCGAACACTCGTTGTCGGAACACGTACACCGGCTCAACAGTCACCCCAGTAGTTGTCAACCTTTTTTGTTAACTTTGTGCTCTCGTTTCACTCTAAAATCAACCATGAAGTGCGCGATGTGCAACTCGAGTTTCAATGATGGAGCGCAGTGTGGATCATGCAAGAGGCACCTGGATTTCACCTGTGCCAACATTTCGGAAACAGCCTATCGCAAATTGCGGTCTGACAGACGAGCGGCCTGGAAATGTCCCGCCTGCAGGAATCCCTCACCCAGCCCTTCACCGGCTCCCTCACCTGAATCGGCATCGCTGGAAGTCATTCTGAATGAGATCCGGGGCATTAAGTTGCAGCTCTCTTCGCTTCCTACTCTCCTCGAAGATGTCAAGACAATAAAAACCGAGATTGCAGATCTCAGAGCATCCTGTGAGTTCAATAGCGCGAAACTGGATGATTTCTCTGCCCGACTGACCAGTGTGGAATCGAGGCTTCCTGAAGTAGTAAACATACGGGAAACTGTCACGACGACCCAAGAAGTCTTAAACCAGGTCAAGAATGATTCCTCAGCGCGAGAGCAGTGGGCCCGCCTCAATAACATCGAGATTAAAGGAGTTCCACAAAGGAAGGGAGAGAACCTGTTTTCTGTTGTGGAATCCATCAGCAAGGTCATCAATTACGCTGTCCCGAAGTCGCAAATAAATTATGTGTCACGGATCCCCATACATGACTCGAAAGATAGGTCAATAATTGTGTGTTTTATCAATCGATACATAAAGGAAGAATTCGTGGCTGCAGCACGAGCCCTGAAGACAATATCTGTGGAGGATCTAGGCTTCGCCGGCACTGGACGTGTTTTTATCAATGACCACCTAACCCCAGATTACAAAAAACTCCTGACTAAAACGAAGTCTGTACTCAAGGCTAAAGACTACCGTTATATCTGGGTCAAGTATGGAAAGATTCACGTAAGAAAGAACGACATGTCACACGTTAAGATTATTAACACCGAAAATGATTTAAACAAACTTTCTTAATCTACTTCATACATAGTTTAACTTACTTAACTGTTTGGACTGTTGAATTAATTATCATTTTTACTGTACATTTTTTAATATTTAACGACACAATATTCTTTAGCTTGTCTCAAAATCTAATTAANGACGAAGTCGCGGGCAAAAGCTATTTGTAAAATCATCATCATCATCATCATCATCATCATTTCAGCCATAGGACGTCCACTGCTGAACATAGGCCTTTGTAAAATAATTAGACTAAATTATTAAAAGTGCCTACCCAAAGTCATTAGTCCACGCGGACGAAGTCGCGGGCACAGCTAGTTACTAGATAAATACTAATCAAGAACAACGATAATATTAATTAAAAACAAAAAAAATATCGTTTTTCATACAACTTCGGATATTGGATATTTTATATCGATATTTCGATATACATTATGTATCGAATAAATTTTTTTTTCAACAAGCCTATGCAACAACAAGCTACACTCATGAGCGGCGTGGGCCCGGGGGGACGATAACCTAGCGTTCGTGACCCCGTAGGATGAACAAAAATCTTCAGCGATAACCGGCCGAGCCCTGGTTCGATAGCGGCGTAAAATAATGGAAGATTTATTTATATCAATATATTAGCGATAAAAACATGAAAAGTAAACCGTAACAGATCGTGGGATCATTAAAATATCGAAGGAGCCTGACGCGTCAGCTCGGTTTACGGTGCGAGACGAGTGACACGTTTCGTCAATTAAGGATCTGTCACGATGAAAAAATACACTCGGCATCAAATAAATCGCACCTCCCGCAACAAGCACTTTTCAAAAGTATGCATCCTCACTTCCCACCAACATTGATACCATTTGAAAGCCTAGTTCATAGCTTAATTTCATTAAAGGAAAGGCTTTTACCCCAAAAATGTGTCTTTAGAAGGATCCAGAGTCACTTCTTCAAAAAATAGGTAGTTACGCTTGAGCCAACTTTTATGGCTATAAAACTGTTAAGTTGGAATTAATCGCTCGCTATCCATCTGTTAAAGAGGACACATGAGGTCATTATTTGGTTTTATAACCATAAAAATTGGTCTCATTGATCCCACAGGTGAGCCCAAAGTGAAGTCATTTTTCAAGTCACATTTATGGTATATGTTAATCATTTATTAAGAAATTAAATGTGTTTTTCTTAAAGGATATTTATTGGGCTTTCAAATAACACCAATATTGTTGGGGCACCATGATGATGTCAGAAGAAAATCTTTAAAGTTCGCGTCGCGGAAGGTGCGATTTATTTGACGTTGAGTATATTTTTGTCGGTTCACCATACAGGGTCATTCCGAGACGGCGGGCTTACCTCGTCAAGCTGCAGGCACTTGCCCCACTCGGCGAGCGTGATGCGGTGGTCGTCGTCGGCGTCGCAGCTGTCCAGGAAGGGCGCGATGCAATGCTCCAGCGCCATCAGCGGCGCGCGGATCGGGAACAGCTCGTGCCGCGACACGAACCTGCGCACAGCCGGCGTTAGCAAACGGTGACCGGGCAATGAAACCTTAAATATGAGCTATCGAGTGTTAAGTAGCAGTAGAGTTTTTGTGGAAATCCTTGAGGGGGAGGCCATTGTCCAACCGTGGACGTCTTTGGGCTGAAACGACCGAACGAACGAAGTTTTTGAGTTTCGACCATAAAGTTAATATACCTAGCGGAATAGAACAACAAAGAACTGAGCGAGCGAGATGTCACTAGCAGCAATACTGTGTGATAAAAAGAGATTTATAATTCGGTCGCCGCACGTCAAACAGAATCGTTTTTTGCAACTATTTGACAGTTCGGTGGCACTTATTGGCACGCTGAAAATTTGAACTCTTTAGATATTTTAAAGATTTTACGTTAGTGAAATCGTGGATGTTTATGAGAAACAGTGCTTTAGAAACGTGTTGACCGGTTCAGTTATTGATTTATTGTACAAAATAGCGAAATAATCCTGACAACTGACACACAAATAACATGCAGTGTCATCCAAAATCGGTTTCGTTTGACAGCTCGTGGTTGTTGCTCCATTCCGAAGAATTATAAACTTGGAATCAGTTTAAGACCACATTGCAAAAGTGGCTTGTCGCGCGATTATTCTACTCTCTCCAAGAATTTTTAAGCTATAGGGAATAATCAGCAAAAAGTACCTAATACATATAAGTAACATTAATATTTCTTCGATATATTTGCATGCTATTGTTGATGGCTGTATAGGTGAACATATTTTGTTATAATCGACTTTCTGTACACCCTATTCAAAGACAAATAAAAATTTCTATTTCTATTGATGGTTTGGAGCCTGGGAGGCCTGACCTGTCGTTGTCGTGCGCGTCGAGGTCGCACCACTTCCAGACGGCGGCGTTGGTCCAGCGGCGCGTGAGGTTGCTCTCGGCCTCGCGCTCCATGCGCAGGTAGTGCGGCGTCAGCTCGCTGCGCTCCGCCATGTCGCGCATGATGTTGAACAGCCAGTCGCGCATGCGCCGCGGGAAGTCCAGCATCTCGCTCTCCGTGCACGTCTGCCGGCGACGGGTAAACGATTAGTAAACGTTGTAGCGGACAGCCGCTCGGGCGTGCGGAAATAAGAAAATACCTTCCGTTTTAAATAAAGGTTTATTTCGGCGGCTATCAAAAAACATATATTTCAAACCTAGAAACAAAAGGTATTCAAAAGAGTAAAAAAGAACATAGACAAAAATATCAAAAGAGGTTGGTCCACCTACCGGTTCCCAACATACTATAATTAAGTTTGCATTTATAATCTACTTCATACATAGTTTAACTTACTTAACTGTTTGGACTGTTGAATTAATTATCATTTTTACTGTACAATTTTTAATATTTAACGACACAATATTCTTTAGCTTGTCTCAAAATCTAATTAATTTAAAGTCAGACACAATTGTTAATAGGTTTGCAACCTCTGCTTTGCCCAGTGGCCGCAGTCGTACCCGAACACCTCTCTTTTGTTATCTAGTCTACACCAATTCAACTTTACGCAACGGGTTGTTTCTGCTTAGACTGCGTGTCGCCATGCCTATACTTCTCTCGCTCACGCCCACTGTCTATAGATCATGTTGTCGCTTTCCGTCCCGTCGCACTGTCACATTTTTTGCTACAACACTGCGCCTAATTTGCATATCGCTTCTACCTGCGTACGCCGTCGTTCTCATTACTACTCCGGATCGCTTGCGCTCGCGCGTCTGCCGGGTTAGAAATATTCGCTCGCCATTGGGCTGTGTTTTATTCGTTGTGGTCTTAGATTATATTAATCTAATGTTGTGGTGCTATGTTTCTATATGGCTACTATGCAATTGCTATCAATCGGCATTCTGTAATGAATAACAGTGCTAATTTAAATAGGGAACGTCAACTATCACTTTACTATCAGAATGTGCGCGGACTAAGATCTAAAACTATATCTTTTTCTCGTAACCTACTTTTACAATCGTATGACGTAGTCGTTCTTACTGAGACCTGGTTAGTGCATAGTGTATCTGACACGGAGTTATTCGACAGTAGGTATGTGGTCTGGAGGCGGGACCGGGACTATGCCCTTACGGGACAGGGTCGCGGCGGTGGTGTGTTGGTGGCAACGCGTAAAGAGTTATCTGTTGTTACACAACAGCAATTCCAGTCCTCCGCTGAGGATTTGTGGATAACATTAACGGTTAAATGTAAAAATACCAAAAAAGTTAANACGATATGAAAATTTTTACTACAATTTCGTCAAAAGAAGATGCTGATGCTCTCCAGGCCGATCTGTTGCGCTTGGAATATTACTGCTTTTGCAACCAACTTGATCTTAATCCCTCTAAATGTTTTGCGGTCACTTTTTCCCGTAAACAAGCCATTCATTTGTCCACATATACACTCAAAGGGACTTCACTTGAACGCAAAACCAGTATTAAAGATCTCGGTGTAACGCATGACATGAAGCTATTATTTGACTCTCATATCGATAATATCGCAACCAAAGCCTGTCAGGCCCTCGGATTTGTGATGCGTAGCTCTGTTGGCTTTACTAAGGCTAAAACACTGAAGATTTTGTACTGCACCTTTGTCCGTAGCCACTTAGAATATGCGTCACAGGTTTGGAACCCTAGATATCAGGTGTACATATCTCGACTGGAGAGTATTCAGAGGAAGTTTGTGAAATTTATCTGCTTTCGCATGAAAGAATCTTATAATTCCTCAGAATACCTACCCCTCTGCAGAAAACACCACCTTCTTCCTTTGGAACTGAGGCGCGAGATAGCGGACGTCACATATTTGCAAAAGATTGCCACAGGTGTAATTGACTGCCCACACCTACTAGCCAAAATATCTCTGAGGGCGCCTCTAAGGCCCATGAGATTTAATCCACTTATTTTTCTTCCGAAGGCGACCACTAACTATAGACAGAATAGCTTTATATGGCGTGCTGGCGACAGATTTAACAGACTGAGTAAGGAACTAGATATTGATTTATTCTTTTTAGACCCCAACATTCCTTTGTCACCGCTAGACCAACATGTAATGTCCCCAAATGACCTATCTGGCGGTAGTGCGTGCGATGTCTCCTCAATAGAGATCGACCAAACCGTAGTTCAGAAGCTACTCTCAAAACTGGATCCCTCCAAATCGGCTGGCCCTGATCTTCTGTCCGCACCGATCTTAATTAACTGTGCCGAGGCATTATCTTTACCAATTTGTCTCCTCTTTCAAAAATCTCTCCTCGAGTGCTCAGTGCCTGGGATTTGGAAATCAGCTTTCATCACACCAGTTCATAAAAAGGGGTCCAAGGTTGACGTCTTAAATTACAGGCCGATCTCTAAACTCTGTATAATTTCAAAGGTATTTGAAAAAATAGTGTACGACCAAATCTATGCTTCACTTAAGACCGCATTTAGTGATTATCAACACGGCTTTCTGAGGGGACGATCGACAGTATCGAATTTGGTCGTTCTTAATGACTATATTACCGAGGCAATGGACAACGGGAAACAGATCGATGTCATATATACAGATTACAGCAAATGTTTTGATCNAAATAAATAAATAAATAAATAAATAAATGTCAGTCAGTCAGTCAGTTAGTTAGTCAGACACCTTTTAGTTATAGTATGTATTTAGATCTTTAAAATGAATGTAATATTTTTGACAGTGTTTACAGTGGAGAAGTGACAAAATCCTTGCCCGTTTACTAAAGCTTGAAAACATACTTGATTATCCCAAAAAACTGTGATAAAATCACCGAAAAAGCAACTTTTATACATCGAAAAATAGTGTGCAATTACATAAAAACCGAACTAACGGGAAAACTTATTCAGCAACCGTAATTCAGTATCGGAGATTCTAACATACAATATTTCCCGTAAAATTGGGTCTCACTCAGCAATTTAGTCACCCCAAATTTTGTACGTTGATTTGAGTGTGTCGACACCTGCCGGTTCTCTTGCTCTTTATAAAAAATATCGAGGAAAAGTGCGAAGCTGGAAGAATTCATCAACAAGTGAAACTATATTAAAGTTCCGAGGGGGAGAGACGAGGGATTATCCTCAACGCGGGTGGCAGTTACACCGAAGTGAAAAAAGGCTGGGAAAACTTGTGAAGATTGTTGCTTGAAGAAAAATATTTGGCCAGTTTCGATGGCCACCATGAGAAATAAAGCCTATTATGGTATGAAATTTTCGTGACATTATTGATAGTACCATCAAAATATTGGTTATTTAAACATACATTTTTATTTTTTTAGCGAACCATATAAAAAATCTGAAAAATGTTCGCATGTATAAAACCAATAAAATTTTTGCAAACAACTACGATGTCATTTCCAGAATTAGATTTTTAATGTAATTATGTAGAATTTTAGATATAAATCACAAAATAAAATGAATGACATTCGTCAACGAGCAGAAGCTTTCCGTCAGATAACAAATTTTCAAATTACATGAGTTTCAGAATTAATATACTTTCAACTTACAAACAATATTATCTTGATGAGTAACAAGCTTACATGTGTAGAGATAGTATAAAATCGTCCTTCTGTCCCATTTCACTGTGTTACTGATGTTTATCTGTCCGAGACGAGTTTTATGAGGTGTTTCTTATTATGGAGAGCTGTTGACCCTCTAATCTCGCCATAGCGGACCCTTTGATTATTTCTAGGTGCCTCTAAAGTTTCAACTTGGTGATTTTTTCCTTTTTTTTCTTTGTTCTTTTTAAGGGACTAAAAGTGTCGTTAGAATTGGAGTCCCGTGTTATTATTTAATAAAGAGGAATTTTGTTCTACACATCAATCATCATCATCTCAGCCATAGGACGTCCACTGCTGAACATAGGCCTCCCCCAATGCTTTCCATGTTACCCGGCTGGTAGCGGCCTGCGTCCAGCGCTTTCCTGCTACCTTTATGATGTCGTCGGTCCACCTTGTGGGTGGACGCCACACGCTGCGTTTTATGGTACGTCGCCTCCACTTCAGAACCTTGCTGCCCCATCGGCCGTCAGTTCTGCCACAGAATAAGTAATAGTACAGGTACAGAAGGATTACTCCGCAAGACGATTTAAATAAATGCGAGTCTTGCTACGACGCGATACAGTGGAATTCAACTCGCACAGCACTACGTACCTACAATTTTATTCACCTACAAGTTTTGTCTCTTTCTATCGCGTGCCTCTGAACTCTTCTTACGCTGTTAGGGTTGCTGTCTAGTAGTGTATAGTAAAATAATAATTAATATACTTATTTGTTATGAGGTACGTATGTAGGTAAGTACGCATTCATTATGGAAAACCTTGGGAGAGGCCTTTGTCCAGCAGTGGACGTCATTAATTTGCTGAAACGAACGAACGCATTCTGAGCAGTAGTCATGGTAGGTTAGGTTCCTATACTATCCTAAGAATTATTGATTACCTACATGGCCAACATACCTTTCAGCATCTTTGGGAAGCGAAAAAAGAGATAAATCCGGTAGATTTCTTTTCGAATTTAAACACCCGAACGCCGCACAATAATATTTCTTTCTCTTTATGTCCATTTTGTAATAATACTTCGATCATAGAATTAGGTACTACAACGCACGCCAGCGTCCTGACGGGCGCGCGCGTGACACTCGACTAATATAATACCCGCCGGCGGGGCGCTTCGCTGTAGGTAATTATCGGATGTACCGCGCGGAGTAAGCCAGGCCTGGTTCTGCGTACTATGTGCCCTGCTCAATTATCTCCATAATAGAGATGTTATCAATAGAATATTGATCAAAAATTTCGGCTGAATTGCACCAGAGGAAAATATGGTGTCCGAAAATCCATGACTCTTTTAGACCGAACGTGAACCATTTTGAATGTCTATGGTTGTTAAAGTAAACATTGGAAGCTTTTGTCCAGCTATGGACGTCCTTTGCTCACAACAAATGTCGATAATTACCTAATAGTTTAGTCATTTGGTAGTTTTACCTGGAAAGTTTTCCGGAAGTAAAGAAAATTGTAAGAAAAACTGCTACAAGGAAGTATTTTTCCAATATGCCGGCGCGAGCGGCAACCATGCGAGGTCACAAAGTTGAAATTCGTAAAGAGCACATCG